AGAGAGAAAAAGAAAGAAAGAAAAAGGAAGGAAGGAAGGAAGGAAGAAAATATACTATACGATTCCATTTATACAAAGTTTGACAACAGGTACTTTTATGGCAATGAAGTCAGGACAGTCGTCACCTGCAGGGTGGGGTCCAGGACTAGGAAAATGCAGAAGGGAAGCTTTTGAAATGCAGGTAATGGCTTACCTCCTACTTTGGGCAATAGTTCCATGGGTATGCTCAGTTTCTAAAAATGTTTATTGTGCTGTATATGAAGATTTGTGTCATTTATTGCATCATGCTATTCTTCAGTATAAAGGATTACTGAAAAAACAAACGCTGGCCCTCGAACCTCCCCCTCCGCTAGCTGGGTGAGAACAGAGGAGAAGCGCGGTGGGGGCTTGCGTGCCGGTGCCTCAGTCACGCAGGGGATTCCTACACGCAACCAGGGCTGAGAGTCCTTACCTCAGACTAGGAACCAGTGTCCTACATGTCGTCGTCCCTTCTTACTTTGTCCCATGTGCATCTGGTTTGGGGGTCTAGTTCTGTGGTTGGTCCCCTGAAAATGCATCACTGAACTGACCACTCTGATCCATCCGCGGGTCATCCAGGCTCCGCTCCCGTGGCCATTTAACCCGACCAATTGCGTCGCTGATGCCTCTCTGCCTGGTGCACCATTTACACAATGACTGAACGGTTCTTAGTCATCCTGAGTGTCTCACCTAGGGTCATCAAGTAGGATTTGAACCGAGGCTCCTGACTCTTCTGAACCCAAAGAGGACAGGTCCAAAGCCTTATGCAGAGGAAGAAATGAAAGATATTTGAATAGGTAATTTGTAGGAGGCGGGCAGTGAAGAAGGGGCTCAAACGTGCCTTTGGAACTTACATCTGATGCAAGCTCTCCCCGCAACCCCCATTGTTTCCTTTGAATTCTATTCATAGATTTTGAATTTATATTATAATCATTACTGGTTTTGTTTTTGTTTTTTGTTTTTTTTTGCTTCTCACCTCAAGTA